TAATCCCAGCACTTTGGGAGGCCGAGGTGGGTGGATCATGAGGCTAGGAGATTGAGACCATCCTGGCCAACATGGTGAAACCCCATCTCTACTAAAAATACGAAAATTAGCTAGGCATGGTGGCGTGTGCCTGTAATCCCAGTACTTGGTAGGCTGAGGCAGGAGAATCGCTTGAACCAGGGAATCAGAGGTTGCAGTGAGCTGAGATCGCGCCACTGCACTCCAGCCTGGCGACAGAATGAGACTCCATCTCAAAAAACAAAAACAAAAAAAGAGAATCCAGGACATTGGTTACACAAATTTTGGAAAGAGCTAAAAAGCCAGAAAGGAAAGATTCACTTCTCTAAGTCCTAAAAGATTAGAAAGCTGAAAGCTGCTACTATCCCTAGGCTAAAGGACAAATGGGGGAAGATGTTGTTCTGGAGCTCAGGGGACAGGGTCACTGGCAAAAGCTAGAATCCTAATGAACATATTCACGGGGAGGAAAGCTACAAAGGAAATGCATCAGGCCTCAGGACTGAGCTAGGGAACAGAGCTTTTCTCCTTTCCTCCCGTCTTCCAATTTCTTGACAGTGCCTACCACTGGACACATCCCAGGTGAAAGTCAGCTGTCACAGTAGCCTAGTGAATACAGCCTGAAAGGGTCAGCTCTCCTACAATACAGAGCAGGGCTAGAGAGGAGAAGGAATCAGTATGAGGGCAAAATGGACAAGGACTGACACAGTAATCAATTCTTTTTAACTTTAAAAATCAACTTTATTGAGGTGTAATTTATATGCAATATACTTATTTTAAATGCAGACTTAATTATTTTTTGAGATGGATTCTGCTATGTTGCCCAGGCTGGGGTGCGGTGGCTATTCACAGGTGCAATCATATTACACCGTAGCCTTGAACTCCTAGGCTCAAACGATCCTCTTGCCTCAGCCTCCAGAGTAGCTGGGTCTATAAGCACATCCCACCCCGCCTGGCAATAATTTTTGACAAATGAGTACACCCATATGACCAACCAGTCAAGATACAGAACATTTTAATCACTTCACAAAGTTCCCGCTTACTCCTTTGCCACAAATCTCCCATCCCATCTCAGTCCCAGGCCACCAGGAATCTGCTTTCTCTCACTATATAGGTTTATTTTGCCTGTTTAGGAATTTTATGCAAATGGAATTATATAGTATGTACTCTTTTGTGCCTGGAATTTTTTTTTTTTTTTTTTTTTTTTTTTTAGACAGAGTCTCCCTCTGTCACCCAGGCTAGAGTGCAGTGGCGCAATCTTGGCTCACTGCAAGTTCCACCTCCCGGGTTCACGCCATTCTCCTGCCTCAGCCTCCCCAGCAGCTGGGACTACAGGCGTCCGCCACCACGCCCGGCTAATTTTTTTGTATTTTTAGTAGAGATGGGGTTTCACCGTGTTAGCCAGGATGGTCTCGATCTCCTGACCTCGTGATCCACCTGCCTCGGCCTCCCAAAGTGCTGGGATTACAGGCGTGAGCCACCGTGCCCGACCTGTGCCTGGATTTTTTTTGGCTCAGTATATTTTTGAAATTCATCCATGTTGTGTTTATCAGCAGTTCATTTATTTTTGTTGCTGAGTAGTATTCCATTGTATGAATACACTACTTTATCTGTTCACTTGTTGATGGACATCTGGGTTGCTTCTAGATTTGAGCTATTATGAATGAAACTTATGTGAATAGTTATGTACAAGTTTTTTTGTGTTTGGGGTATGTGCAAGTACATGTGTGTTTGGTGGACATGTGTTATTTCTCATGAATAAAATATCTGGGAGAGGAATTGTTGTTTCATATAAGAAACCGCCGAACTCAACAATTCTTTTTAACCTTATAAATATCATTACTATAAATGTCCACAAAAGGACACTGTACATTTCCTCCAAAGAACAAAGGGTTAGAGAGAGAATAATTTTTATGAGAAAAAAATTTAAAAAAACTAAAAAAAATTGATACCTTAAAAATATATTAAGCTTTTCATAACAATATTTTCTTTCCTTTTTAAAAAATATATTTTAGGGACAGGGTTTTTCTTTGTTGCCCAGGCTGGTCTTGAACTCTTGAGTTCAAGCTATCCTCCTGCCTCAGCCTCACAAAGTGCTGGGATTACAAGCGTGAGCCACCATGCCCAGCCCTCAATATTTTTTTTAGTAGTATGAAAGGGGATTAGGAAAGTAATAGGAAAGGAACTGAAAAAGAAAGCAAACTGATGCAAAATAATTACTAAAGACTTCTTGACAGTGCAAAATCATCCTACACACCTGCTCTGAGCTCTCAGCACTGCTGTCAGCTACCTTCTGGCAAAGCTACTTTGTCAAATGGATGCCATAGGATCCATATTGATCTTTGTGAAGGAATATCTTTATTAATATAAGCAAACACGCCTCTCATTTATAGTAATGTAGAGGTGTGGGCTTTTTCTTTTGCTCTTAGTAGTATTGTTTCCCCAACATATATCACTTTCTTTTGAAATGTGGGCTGAGTCATAAATTAATGTCACAAATAAATGTCATCTAGATGAGGGAGGCAACTATGTTACAAAGTAGGAGGGCGTAGCTTGATATGAATTGTTACAGTTGACAGCTAAGTACTCTTGAACTAAATGTCATTATGTCAAATTCTGAGATATTAAACAGTTGTTGAAATGTAAAATTGTGGACATTTAGGTTTGCAGTCTAAAAAGTTTTGTCAATCTTTTCTAGACATTCTGAAATGGAAATGAACAGGTGGATTGAAAACAAAGACAAATGAGGAGTTTAAAGACTTTCTTGGCACCTCATAGAGAAGTTGCTCTACACTGGTTATGTTTTAAACAAAACACATATAAATACATTCAGCATTTCTGGAAGCAGATTTATTGGATCTTTCCATTTATCTTTGGGAAAAAAATATAGAGGACTCAAGGCAATTACTATATTCTTTCTATCATGTATTATTTAATCTCAAACTAGGAGAGGAACTCTGTTTTACATGATGCCATAATGTACATTAGTGAGCTCAACCCACTTAATCTTAAAATAACAGTATCAGGTCAGGGATTTAGAATACAGTATTATATGAAAACAGTTGGCAGAGAGACTCCCTCTTCTGCCATTAATAACTGGAAACAATATTTCAGACCCTAAATCCAACTGAAACCCAGAAGCAATACATGGAGAGGATGGGGTGGATAATTTGTGAGAACATGTTTTTCAAAGTAGAGAAAGAATCACTATGTTTTTACTGAATTATATGTTGCCATGGACATGGCAGTTTGCAGTAATGATGCTATCATCTATACAGCTGTATAACAACACAGCTTCTTTCTCTCCCACTCCCTCAGTAAGGCTTAAAAATAATAGGTTTGTGTGTAGTTTGGTAAGAAAATTAGAATCACTTAAAGTCATTTCAATTCCAACCCAAGAAAGAAAAAAAGAGACTTGGGGGGATGGAGAAGAAGAGCAAACAAAATATAGAAAAAGTACATATTATTGGCCGGGCACAGTGGCTCATGCCTGTAATCCCAGCACTTTGGGAGGCCGAGGCAGGCGGATCATCTGAGGTCAGGAGTTCGAGATCAACCTGACCAACATGGTGAAACCGTGTCTCTACTAAAAAGACAAAAAAATTAGCCAGGCGTGGTGGCACACGCCTGTAATCCCAGCTACTCGGGAGGGTGAGACAGTAGAATCACTTGAACCCAGGAGGCAGAGGTTGCAGTTAGCCAAGATTGTGCCATTGCACTACAGCCTGGGCAACAAGAGTGAAACTCCGTCTCAAAAAAAAAAAAAAAAAAAACCGTAATATATAAAAAAGTATAATATGCATTATGCAGAGACTAAAGAGGGGAGTCTTGGTTACCTGAAAACTAATGGGTCAAATCCATTGAAGTGGGTGAATCCAGTGAAAAGACCTGGATTGAGTCCTTGTTGCATCACTTGCATGTGACCTTGAGCAAAGTCACCATGTCTTTAAGGCTCAGTTTTCTCACCTATAAAATGGAATAATTGGCTGGCGTGGTGGGTCACGCCTGTAATTCCAGCACTTTGGGAGGCTGAGGCGGGCAGAACACCTGAGGTCAGGAGTTTGAGACCAGCCTGGCCAATATGGTGAAACTCTGTTTCTACTAAAAATACAAAAGTTAACCGGGGGTGGTGGCAGGCGCCTGTAATCCCAGCTACTTGGGAGGCTGACGCAGGAGAATCGCTTGAACTCAGGAGGTAGAGGTTGCAGTGAGCTGAGATCGCGCCACTGCACTCCAGCCCGGGTGACAAGAGCGAGACTGTCTCAAAAAAAAAAAAAAAAAAAAGGAATCATAACGGTAATGTCCTATACCTCAAGGAACTGTGGTAAGGATTAAAGGGGTGAAATCCATGCATAAACTATGAAGCCCAATAGAAATAAGGTGTTATACAGACAATTGCACTGTTGAATCTCCAGAGACAGAGTTAAGGAAAAATGCACTTTCAGAAAGCTTTGGCGACTAACGACCCGAGTTCTCCAACGCCAAGGCTGGAAGTTTGGAGACCTTGAAACAAGTAAATTACTATTAATATCATAATTTTCAGTTCCCTTTTAAGAAATGAGAGTAACACCACTTTCTTCACAGAATCAAGTGAGAGAACGTATACAAAGGAACTTATCACTTGGTAGGTATTTGAGGCTCCCTCTGCCCGAAAACTACTTATTCAAAGACTGTCTACAACGAAAGGTGTTCACAGTCTGGTGTCTTTCAAAACATACGCTAAGGCAAGGAACAGATAAGGAAACGGAAGTACATCCAACTGGGATCCAAGCAACCCAAGTGGGAACCAACAGCTAGACTTGGAGATGTCTTAGCTCACCCTTAACCACGTGAGGGTAGGGTATCCAGCCAATAAAGACATTCAGAGTTGGAGAGCGGGCGAGTGGAGTGTCCTTTCGACTCCGCGGACTCGACGGGAGGGACCCTGCAATGCTTAATTAGAACCGGTTGCCATGGCGACAGTCTCTAGGCAGCGTGGGCTGAGCTCTCGGTAGGAATAAAGGGTGGGCCGCCGCTGGACCCTGCGCGCGCCCGCCACCAACTTTCCCTCCAGATCCGAGAGGGGCGGCGCGCTCCACCCCCGGGCCGCGCACGTCCGTGCTCGGCGGCGCGCACGCCTGCGGGAGCCCTCTCCAGGCAACCTAGTGCTGATCGCTCGTGCCGGTGCGGCCGTTAACCGCCCTTGCGGGAGCCCGAGGCTCAAAAACAGCCCCTTACCCTTCCTGAGCTTCCCCCAACCCCTTTCCCGGTCTGTCCCGGGGCATGAGCAGCGATGGCCGGCTGCATCCCTGAGGAGAAAACTTACCGGCGCTTCCTGGAGCTATTCCTGGGCGAGTTTCGCGGACCGTGCGGCGGCGGCGAGCCGGAGCCGGAACCCGAACCCGAACCCGAACCCGAACCCGAACCCGAACCCGAGTCCGAGTCCGAGCCCGAACCTGAACTGGTAGAAGCTGAGGCGGCCGAGGCTTCGGTAGAGGAACCCGGGGAGGAGGCGGCCACAATAGCCGCGACGGAAGAGGGGGACCAGGAGCAAGACCCGGAGCCCGAGGAGGAGGCGGTGGAAGAGGAGGCGGTGGCGGCGGTTGAGGGTGAGGTGGAGGAGGAGGCGGCGGCGACGACGGCGGCGGCAGCCCCGGGGCACTCGGCCGTGCCGCCGCCGCCGCAGCCCCAGCTACCGCCTTTGCCCCCGCTCCCGCGGCCGCTGTCAGAGCGCATCACCCGCGAGGAGGTGGAGGGCGAGAGCCTGGACCTGTGCCTGCAGCAGCTCTACAAATAGTTAAGTATCTGGGCTCGGCTGGGGGTGGGCCCGCTGTCCCCACCGCGCCGGCCTCGGACGCGGCTCCCTCGGCCCCTCAAACTGCTCTCTTTTCTGCTCGTCTCCCCCGCACCCGCGCCTGCCGCCGCTGAAAGCGCCCCCGCTGCTCGGACCCGGGCGGTCGGCTGAGAGCTGCCCACGCCCGCCTCGGCCCCCACGCCTCCTGCCTGGCCCTGGAGCCGCTCTCCTGAGCCCCCGCGCCTTCCCGCTGGGCCCGGGCCCCTCATCCCCCTTCACCTCGGCCCCCAGCGTCTAGCTCCACTTCACACAACCTTTCCCTTTCCTGACTGGAAAGGTCCTTCCTCCCAGGCTTGAGTTCCCTCTTCTTCCCAGCTCCCTTCTTTCTCCCGGAGGTTTCCTCCCACCCCAGTCTGTCTTTTCCCGGGCAGAGTGCCTTGTTGTTTGGCGGCAGAGACGCGACTCCTTTCTAGTCTGAGCTGCGAGGTGCCTCCTGCGTAACTGCAACAACAATGATGATTTTCCCGGCCCCATATCCAGATGAGAGACTGGAGTAGATTTTCCGTCAGGTGCTCAATGTTGAAAGCGAAGGGCTTTTTAGATATTTTCATACAGGGGAGCCTAGTCTCTTAGTTTAGACATTTGACATTTCATAATTGAGGGAGGTGGGAAGGAGTTGAGAGGGAAGGGTAAGCAAAATTTTGCAAGCGAGCCTTCGGGTGAAAGAGCCGTAATTCATTAAAGTGGAAAAGTCAGGCTGTTTTGATTAAACTGCAATTAGGTGCAGTATTTTCAGTCCATTAAGTAGATGGGGTGGGGTGGGGAGAAAGCAGATGGCTTAGCTACACAGATGAAAGTCTAAAATAGAAAGGTCAAGGCTTTGCCTTTCATCCCAGTTCTGGTTTTTATAGGCCTGAAATAGAAACGGTTTACAATTGCGTTTTTTAATGGAATTGCTAAATAATGACAGAGGAGAATACTAGTAAGTCTCTGAAAACATTGGTAAACCTGAGAAGTCTTTTGCCATTCAGCTGATAGTTGTAATGAAAGGTGTTACTCTGGCCACCCAAAAAGTTTACTACTGCAAGATTCACTGTAATTAAGTTCAAACTCACTTTTGGGATTTTCTCAAAAGCCTAAATAAAAGAAGGGCCTGGAAAATAAACCTGTTTTGTCTTCATCCAAGCTAATAGACACCTGATCAAATCATTCTCCTGTTAAAGCAGCAGTTTATCAATAGGGGAAAATCATTTAACAAATCTTCTATAGAAGTGGACGGACTGTGTTGATGTCTCAGAATATAAGGTATCTAAAATTTAATTTCTAAATACTGTTCAATTACAGTTTTACCTTCAATTAGAAAGGTAATAATGCTTTTTGAGAAATGTAAAATATAAAATGGCGTGTAATACCACCACCCAGAGATAAACAGTATTAACATTTTAGAGTATATCTGGTCTTTGTAAACTATCATAGAAAAGGGCTTCTGAGATGTAATTTTTTACACTATTTAAAGATAAAGCTTCCTGCTTAAAATAAAATGGAAATGTTTATTAAAGGAATTTATCTTAGCAGCAGACTAGCTCTATCTTGACAGTTAATTCTTACCTTTACAAATGCAGTTTGCAGAATTAAACACAATTCAAACTTTAGAGAATGTCCAAATAAGGTCATTAGTTTAGTACAACCCTGAACATTTGCCATGTAAGAAGGTTTTTTTTTTTTTTTTTTTTTTTAAATGAAACTTAAATTTAAAGATGGTGGCAAGGGGATACGTGTTTTTTCATATAGAAGGGGTAAGTGGCCGGAGCGGTAGCTCACTCCTGTAATTCCAGCTTTTTGGGAGGCCGAAGTGGCAGATCATGAGGTCAAGAGTTCGAGACCAGCCTGACCAACATGGTGAAACTGCGTCTCTACTGAAAATACAAAAATTAGCTGGGCGTGGTGTCGCGCGCCTGTAATCCCAGCTACTCAGGAGGCTGAGGTAGGAGAATCGCTTGAACCGGAGAGGTGGAGGTTGCAGTGAGCCGAGATTGAGCCAGTGCACTCCAGCCCGGGTGACACAGCGAGACTCTGTCTCAAAAAAAAAAAAAAGGTACCTATGTTTTACTCCTTTCTCCAAATTTAAATCCCCCAAGAGATTAAAATAATTTCAGTGACAATCTGAAAATTTCTGAGGTTAAGGAGAGACTGTCCTTTGAAAAGGTGAAAGCGAGAGATTTTATAACTTTGAGATAATTTGTAAATAAGGGTATAACTGATCTTACAGGAGATGTGAATATAGGGCTATCTGTCTAGTTTATATAGGTCAATATTTTGTATTTAATTTCTCTGTACAATACTAGAGATAACATATTTGTTTTAATCCAGAAGAAACAAATATTCTGAAGTTTTTTTTTTTTTTTGAGACGGAATCTCGCCCTGTCGTCCAGGCTGGAGTGCAGTGGCTTGATCTCAGCTTACTGCAAGCTCCGCCTCCTGGGTTCACGCCATTCTCCTGCCTCAGCCTCCCCAGTAGCTGGGACTACAGGCGCCTGCCACCATGCCCGGCTAATTTTTTGTATTTTTAGTAGAGACAGGATTTCACCGTGTTAGCCAGGATGGTCTCAATCTCCTGTCCTTGTGATCCAGCCGCCTTGGCCTCCCTAAGTGCTGGGATTACAGGTGTGAGCCACTGCGCCCGGCCCTGAAGTCTTTTTTCTTTCCATTTTTTACCAGTAGACTATGAGAGGAAGATGAAGTCGTTATTAGAGCTATATTGTCATCATATTTTCAGAACAGTTGTTTCCTCAGTTATTCATTTAGTCTGAGTTGGATTTCCCAAGGGGGAAACCAGTATCCCAAGAGTCTGGCAAAGTTAAGTAGTTCCAGATGGCTTGCAGTAATAATGAGGATGGACACTTTAAACATGTCTTGGAAAAGAAAATCGCTGGTTATAGAGGCTAATAATTCAGTTACATTGAATTGTGTGAATCATTAATGACTTTGGATTAGGTCAGAAAATCATTAAACTTTATCTAATTTACAAATATATAAATGGGAAAATATATGGATGCATGTTATATAATACCTATTTTTAAATTGCACATTTTTTCTCATTCAAAAATAATAAACATTCACATTTAAATAAAGGAGTGGAGAACATTCACATAAGCAAAAAGAGGAAAAATACCACTCATTGTTAATCATGCTTTCCATGTTTTTCTCCTGCTTCTCAGGCTACCCCACTTCTTCTCTGTGAGCTTTTAATATTCTGCCTACCCCTTTAATGTTGGTGTTCTGTCCTTGACCTTCTCTTGTCTGGCTGACTTATTTGTCCCTAGTCAATATCAGTCTCTCACATGACTTCAGTTATTGTAGTTATGCTAAAGGCTCCTGACTCTATCTTCATCCTTGCTTTGATTGCTGGAACAGCTTTACCTAGATGTCAAAATTTCCTCAGATTAAACTGTCTAAAACAGAATTCCGTCCTCCAACCCTCTTTACTGCCCCCAAAACAAACAAAACTAAAACCTGATACTCTTTCTGGTGGGTCCATCCCTGACTTCTCCTTTCATCTCTCACATTCAGTCAAATCTGTTAATTCTACCTTGTAAATATCTCTTAAATATGTCTTTCTCCATTCCCACTGTCATTGTTGTCTCTTGCCAGTCTTACCCTTCTGCAATATATTTTCCCCAGTGTAGACAAAATGCTTAATTGTCACACTGGTTAAACATTTGTACCCTTTACCCAGAGTTAGCCAAACTGTAAGGTTAAGGGCACAGGCTTCCACACTGCCAAGTCTGCCCAAGACTTCTGATCCTATTGTAAGGGGTTAGGGTGCAACTACAAATTTCAAATGAAGAGGCTACATAAGATCATCCTCCCTTCTGACATCAACTTCCTGTTTGGGGGTTTCCCCAAACCATCCTCAGATTCAGTAATGCACTAGAAAAACTCATAGAAGTCACTGAAAGCTATTATACTTAGGGATACAGTTCATTACAAAGACAAGCTACAAATTAGAACAAGTCAAAGGAAGAAAGATGCCTAGGGTATAGTCGAAGAGAGTTGTTGGAGATATGAAACTTCTATTGTTCTCAGGGAACATACCTTCCGTACCCTCCCAGCATGAATGTATGGATGTATGGAAATATATACAGGGTATTGCCCACCCAAGAAATTCACCTAAACTTTGGTGTGTATAGAGTTTGTGTTTTGTTTTGTTTTTTAAAGAGATGGGGTCTCACTGTATTGCCCACACTGGATTCAAACTCCTGGCTCAAATGATCCTCTTACCTCAGCAGAGTTTTCATTGAGATTTATTGATTGATTGCATGGTTGAACTCAGTTTCCAGTCTACCCTCTCCAGAGGTTAGGCTCATACTATGGGGTTCAAGAGACCCATCGTGAATAGTAAGAGTACTCATATTACTCCAGAAATTCCAGGGGTTTAGAGGCTACCTCCCAGGAGCTGGAGGCAACATCTGGACCTCTCTTTGGACAAGGTTAAATTTTTTACTACATATCCTTCATCACCTATCTCTCCTTTGCCCTCTAGATAAAATCCAAAAGTAAGGACTTATAATCTTACTTCATTAATCTTATTTCTGGAATCACTATCCACCCACTTCATCCCAATTCTACTCCTCCAGAAACTCCACTTCAGCTATATTAAACGAATGTATTTGTTTGAATGTATTGTGTTCTCTTTTGCCTCTGTACCTTTGCACATAGTATATTTTGGAATATACTTGGAATACTGTGTTCCCCCAAAAGCCACTCCCAACACAATCCAATCTCTTACCCATTTTTTAGTTCTCTAACACTCTTCCTTGAGGAAGCCTTTGTTTACCGTCCTCACACTCATAATGAGTTAGGGGTCCCTTCTGTGTTCCTTTCCGTAATACCCAATGCCATTCTTCTTGTAAGTACTTGGTTTATTTTATTATTTTTTGTCAAAAAATATTTATATCTCTTGTCACTAGACCAGAGGTCTCCAAAGTGAATTGCACCTAAA